GTGTAAGAAATTGTCTCATGTTTTTATTTTGTTTGTCTTTTTATTTATCCAAAATTCATTTTAAAATTTTTATTTTATATCAAAACAAAAGATACCCAAACACAAACTCAGAAGACTAACGTTTTTAATTGTTTTATGTCTTCTAACAAATAAACTTTTAGGACATTCAGAAAATGTCTAGCGCATTTCGTGATTTTTTGAGATTCAGATTATGATTTTTAAATTCTGAATTCGAACTGTTTTTTTTTTTTAAAAGAAGAAACATATCTCTAATATTCAAACATATATTTATATAATTTTTGTCATAAAAAGGCCATTTTATATGACTAACATTTGGAATATTGTTGTTTGGAGAAAAAATCTTAAATGTTGTTTAATTCTTTTGGGACGATCATCAGAAAAATTTGTAGAACCAATGGAAAAAAAAATATTAGAAAATGGAAGAAAAAAATAAAATTCATGTCTTCGTTTTAACACAATATTTACTCCTTTTAGCTAAATGTGAGTAAATATCAAAATATCAAAGTTACATGAAGGAAGAACCAGTCAAAAGAAATATTTTATGAAAATGTAGAAAATCAACTGTAAACACGGAAAAACATTGCCTATATTTTAATATAATAAATGGGAGACCAAAGTGTAAAATTAGATCTACAGTTAAAAAAAAATACAAACCCGAAAATATATATAATATATATATATATATATATATATGTATATATAAATAAAAAGAAATAACATTAAGATATAATGTCCGGTGTTCTTATGATTTTTTTCTGTGTCTTTAAAAATTTACTAATTTTAAAAAGTTACTCCAAAATTCGCTTGAGGATGAAATGGAACTAATGTCTTTAATTTAATTACAAAATTAAATTCTGAGCTTTTAGCTTCCATTTTTGAAACATGGTTAATCTGTATAGTGGAAAAAACATACTTTTAAATCAAATAATTTATAATATATATATATATATATATATATATATATATATATATATATATAACATTAATAATCTTATAAATATAAGCAGCTATACTCGTCCGGCAAAACCTGAGGTGTTTTAGCTTGTAAATGAACAAACCAATACCAAAGGGGAAAAAAAGGGTAAAAAATAAAGAACTAAGAACATGGACTTCCGGCGAAAATAATCGTCTAGAATCAAAAGTTCAGAGTCCAAAGTAAAAAACCTCCGATACGAGTAAAGTAAAAATAACTAAGCAAAGTGCACAATACGTTAAATAGGTTAAGTTATAAATAAAGACAAACCTACCTAGGTTTCACCTATATATATATCGTCAGTCCGCCCTTTTTATATATCTATTTAGTTGAAACCTAGGTAGGTTTGTCTGGCTCTTTTAGGTTTATATATATATATATATATATATATATATATATATATATATATATATTTTATAGTAAAAAAAGGAAGCTATTCTTTTAAAACAATGTCAAAAAATTTCCTTAAATAATACTAAAAAAATGCGTGGCTGGTAATATACATATTTATACGTAATAATAATTTTTAAATAATTTAAGTAATTATATTACATTTATTTGTTTTAAAAAGAAAAATAATATATTAGGAATTAAATGTAAAAATAATATTTTAAAATTGTAGATCAATACAAGGGATTCTAATATAAAAACCCCTTTTAGAAAGAATCTGTATGCATACAAGTAGAAATTAAACGAAGAAAATGCCGAAAACCTTTTTGTCGTTGATAAAAAAACAAAACAACAGACGACATGCGTTGAAGAAAGGCACCCCTACCCACCTAGACTTAACCCATTTCCGAACGTAACTCACAATTGATACAATAATAGTTAATAAAAAGGAACACGCTACCGGTCCTGTCTAAATGATTGGATTACTCTGTATCCTTGAAAACAAATATTATGAATGTATGTGCTTTCAAAACTCAGTAAATTTTAAAATAAGTTATTCCAAAATTCTCTTGGAGATAAAACAGAACTAATGCTTTTAATTTAATATAATTGAATTTGAAGTTTTTGTTTTCTGTTTTTTGAAACATGGTAATTCCTGTGTAGCGATAAAATCATATTGTTAAATCAGTTAATTTATAATATTATATATATATATATATATATATATATATAAAAATATATATAATAAATTATCGTACTCCAGCAAGATTTAATTTGCTATATTTTATTTATTTATTTTTAATCAGTTCACCCCCAAGCAAGGAAATAATGCCACTAAGATGCAGGTGGGGGGCTACTGGGAGTGAAAGTGAATGAGGAAAATTTAGAAGGAACCAGAAATCCAATCCTAAACAGGAAACAAGGGATAAACCTCTACTCCTGTCCAAAAGCCTGGGGAGGAGTGTGAATTGGACAGTAGGCGAGCCTATCGATTAAAAACACTTACAGCACTTGGTATTCCCAAGCGGTCATCCATCTAAATACTGACCAGGCTGGACGTTGCTTAACTTCGGTTATCGGACGAGAACCGGCGAGTTCAACGTGATATGGCCGTAAATTTGAAGGGAATTTAAATTTTAAATAATGATACCACAGTATAGAACATCTATTGTTTTATTTCCTCTTTGTTTTTTCCCCCTTTTTTAGTTCAGGTACATTTTAGATTGGTCCCCACTTCCTGTCAGCCCTTAGTTATCACAGGAATCATACTTATTATAAAACCCAGGTTGTGTGTGTGTGTGTGTGTGTGTGTGTGTGTGTGTGTGTGACCGTTCGTTTATATATTGGATCGGATTTCCTATATTTTTCAACGGATTTCAACAAAACTTCACAGGACTACGTAAAATTACCTTGCGGTGGTTCTGACAGCGCCCAAAACTGAAAAAACACAATTGTTTTTGCACAAAATCAAATGGAAAACACGATTAAGAGGCATCGCTGTTGCGAGAATGAAAGGGGGACAACTCATATCGAGTTATACTTATTATAAAAGCCCAGGTTGTTTGTGTTTGTGTGTATGTGTTCGTTTATATATTGGATTTCCTACATTTTTCAACCGATTTCAACAAAACTTCACTTTTTTTTGGCAGGTGGTGTTTCTTATTGTCTTGCACACTTTTTTTATTTTTACATTCAGAATGCTTTAAAAATTCCATTTACAAGACAATTGTTTATAATAAAATTCTATTCAATCGGTAAACTCATAACGATTGAAAACAATGTTTTTGTTTGAGTTTGGGTTTGACCAATTCGTAAAAAAAAAAAGAGAAAAAACAAAAAACAAAAAAAAACAAAAAAAACTAATTAAGACATGCGTGTCCGTCAACCTTAAACAATAATCTTTGTCAATTTTATTTTTCAGTCTTTATGATGGTCGATACTTGATCTATCTCTTACTGTTACATCCCCGGGCAACGCCGGGCTCTACTGCTAGTCGATTCTATAAGGCATGGGCTGAAGTACACGGTTTATATTTTTCTTATCCTGCATATTCTTACCTCAACAATAGAATCGCCGTTTTACTGTTCTTCCTCCCGTATACACATCTGTCTCACATGCGTGCGTACCTCAAGACAGCCCGATAATTTGGCCTTTAATAAATCTGAACAGGACGTTGTCTTCAGAGTTTTAATTGCCTAACGATGTTTATCTGGCTGTCTTATTTACGCACGCGTATGAGACGAATGCATACACAGGAGGCAGAAGAGAAACAATATGAAAATATTCTTTACGAAATTATGGCAAAACAAGTATATAGCCTCAGGCTATAGTAAATCAAACTTTAATTGTCTTTTGCATTTTTAATTGAGAAAATTAATAAAATATGACACCACAAAAAGACAATTTTTTAACATATGAGAAAACAAGGTCATCTTTTAGCTTTTCGATATCAACAAAATATTGCATTACAAGAAGAATATTTTTTCAATGACTTTTAAATTTTTCATTGAGTAATTATGAAAGTACACTGGTACCACAAAATATATATTTAAGTTACTGGACTATTTCTGTGAGAAAACAAGGGGAAGAAAGGGGGAAAGGAAGGCGTCTTTTGGACGTAAAACTGCATCTTGTTTGTTGCACTGAGAGAAAATTGTCAGTCACAACCACTCGACACCGAACCCCCCACCACCACCACAAAAAAAAAAAAAAATAAAAAAGCCTGTCGCTAGCGCAACATTCGAAAAAGACAATATGTTACTGATGAATTTTTGCCAAATAATTTTCGTTGCTTATCCCTAATTAATGAATATTACACAATTTATTTGTTTAATGGTGTCGTAGTGTCCACACACAAGTGATGCCTATGGCTCATACCGAAATATCTATACCCTAGATACATCCTGGAGAAGTCTTTAAAAAAAAAAAATTAAATTCTGGCATTGCCGGGTTTCGAACCAGAGTCTCTGCCGCCAATTGGAAATACATGGTTATTTTAAACTCTAGGATTACATCTTGAGGTTTCTCTATTTATGATAAATGGCCTTAATCTCAATGAATATCTATTTGGGTTTCAGATTCACTCCAGATCTCAAATGGAATCTTTATATTCAACCCTTTGCCAAAGAAACTGAAAAAATGATCAGCTCATTCTCTCGCTCAAATAAAATTTATATTTGGCTCATATGGATAGAAATTAAATAGTTACAACACCTCATCTCAGAAATATAGACATTATGGAAAGATATACATTTATTCTTAAGGTAAATAGTGTACAGGAAAATCTCGTTAGAAACAAAGAAAAGAGTGCTACGCGGTCCTATAATATCTGTCTATATTTCTGAGATCATGTACATTATTTGCATTATTCGGACTGTTGTCCTCATCTATGACGCCATATTTATAACAATGTTTCGACCCTTCAATATCAGTCTATATTTCTAAGATGAGGTATTATGTACATTATTTACACTATTCGAACTATTGTCCGCATCTTTGTCGCCATATTTATAACAATGTTTCGACCCTTCAATATCAGTCTATATTTCTAAGATGAGGTATTATGTACATTATTTACATTATTCGGACTGTTGTCCTCATCTTTGTCGCCATATTTATAACAATGTTTCGACCCTTCAGTATCTGTCTATATTTCTAAGATGAGGTATTATGTACATTATTTACATTATTCGATCTATTGTCCTCATCTTTGTCGCCATATTTATAACAATGTTTCGACACTTCAGTATCTGTCTATATTTCTAAGATGAGGTATTATGTACATTATTTACATTATTCGGACTATTGTCCTCATCTTTGTCGCCATATTTATAACAATGTTTCGACCCTTCAGTATCTGTCTATATTTCTAAGATGAGGTATTATGTACATTATTTACATTATTCGAACTATTGTCCTCATCTTTGTCGCCATATTTTCTTACAACGTTTCGACCCTTTAGTATCTGTCTATATTTCTGAGATGAAGTATTATGCACATTATTTATATTATTCGGACTGTTGTCCTCATCTTTGTCGCCATATTTATAACAATGTTTCGTTCCTTCAGTATCTGTCTATATTTCTAAGATGAGGTATTATGTACATTATTTACATTATTGTCCTCATCTTTGTCGCCATATTTATTACAACGTTTCCGCCGTTGTAGGCTCCGGCATTCTTCACATGGTTGGAATGTCGAACTGAACCCTTTATTTCGCTCACTGAGGTAGACTGTTCTAGTTCCACGTGCCATGTTTAATGGATGATAAAATCAGTTATTTCCTGTTAATTTCCTCTGAAAGTTCTCCAAATGCCTAAACCGGGTATTGAACTCACACTCTTTGGGTCCAGTCACTGGAATCTAACCAACGCCTTTATCCACTGTACTATGTGTCTAAAGGGTTAAGTGCGACATTCCAACCAACTGAAGAAGGCCGGAGCGTACAACGGTCGAAACCCTGTAATAAATATGGCGACAAAGCGGTCCTATAATATCAATCCTCTTGTATAGTGAATGCTGGACAATTTCTTCACAGATGAAGAAGAGACTTAAGGCAATAGAAATGCGGTTCTACATAAGATTAGAATACCATGGGCGTAACATGTGAGCAACGTGGAAGTTTTAAGGAAAATAGATACAAAAATAAATTTTCTATTTGCAATAAAAATGTATGTACAATTTTTTTTTATATCTTGAGATTCTTAAACATCTGAAGTTGATTGTGGTTAAACAAGTTTAGCCATTCCTGGTCGTACGGGGACGTCTGTTTATAAACATGCTCGTTTGTATGCGTATGTATCGGCTCATAAGTGTGTATCGATTCTTGATGAAGTATGTTTATGTATGTATGTTGTGCGTGTGTTTTGTATGTATGTGTATTTCTTCCTTTGTGTGTTGAGGGATATATCCTGGTGCGTGTTAAAATATTTTTCTTTTTCTCTCTCTCTCTCCCCAAACTGGAACCCAAAGTATAAAATCGATTTTTGCTCATTTTGGTTGGATGTAGGCGTTGTTCGGAATGCCATTTTCTTTGTTCTGTGTTCCGACGAGCGAAAAAAAAATTCATTGGAAGTCAAAATCACCACCGATTAAAAATTAAATGACTACTTTGGTTCATTCCGGTTCACAAAATTGAATGAAACGAAAATAGCTTAAAGATGAGAGAAGTAAAGAGAGAGAGAGAGAGATGACAGACAGACATTTGACAGAAATAAAGAGAAATCTATGTGTGTGTTGTTGTGTGTGAAATGTTGTGCGCGCGAGATAGAGGTCAGAGTCGAATCCTAAGCAGTAGAATTCGGCAGCTCACGTGGTCAAAGGAAATTCTTCAAAATCTTATCCCAGTTTCGAATTCAGTCATAAAGGAATTAATTAAGATAGAGGCACGATTCGTAAAGTTACGGAATTAAAAGAAAGGAACTCTCCAAGAGAAAAAAAACCCCTAAAAACATAAAAGGATCCCCCAAAAGTATAGGAGATTCCCCCACCCCGAAAAAAGGAAAGAACTCCTCCAAAGAAAGGGAAACCATCAAGAAAGAAAAGGATACTTAACAAAAAGAAAGGAACACGCAACAAAGAAAGGAACACCCCAAAAGCAAGTGTCACCCTTAAAAAAGTAAAGGCACCCACAAAAAGAAAATGATACCTCCAAAAATCGGAATTCCCCCAGGGAAAGTGAAACACTTAATAAATAAAAAGGATGTCCCCCCCCCAAATAAAAGGAAATTATTTTCATTGAAATGGAAATTTTTAATAAAAATGATGCCCTAAAAATAAAAGGACTCCCCCAGAGAAATGGAAATTCTCAAAAAATAAAAATGAGGCCCTAAAAATAAAAGGGACTCCCCCAGAGAAATGGAAACTCTCAAAAAATAAAAATGATGCCCTGAAAATAAAAGGGACTCCCCCAGAGAAATGGAAACTCTCAAAAAATAAAAATGATGTCCTGAAAATAAAAGGGTCTCCCCCAGAGAAATGGAAATTCTCAAAAAATAAAAATGAGGCCCTAAAAATAAAAGGGACTCCCCCAGAGGAAGGGAAACTCTCAAAAAATAAAAATGAGGCCCTAAAAATAAAAAGGACTCCCCTAGAGAAAGGGAAACTCTCAAAAAATA